TATATCAGTAAGAAAGGATTGCAGAAGCTGCGTCTCGGACTTAAGGTAAAGCAATTGGCTGAGCCCGTGGTGAGTAAACTAGCTAATAGTACAGTAACTGTAATGGATAGATATGTTGAAGGGGTTAAGATAGACTTCCGGCTCGAAGCAGAGGGGAAGGTGGAACGCGTTCTCCACTCTCTGACTCTCTTGGTGGAAGATGATCTTCCTTTGACATTCTTTTAGGAATGGATGGGGGTGAAGCTGTAGATGCGGATATAAAGTTAAGGGATCATGAGTGTTGGCTCCCTAAGGAAAGCAGCTTAGCTCATTGTTGTATGAGTGCCCCCGCGTTTGCCCGCCATGTGAAAAGGTATAATTTGTATGATCAAGTTGTTATTGCATTTGTGCGCCCAGTAAAGGAGGGTGAAGCTAAAGAAGAGGCCAAGTCCCCAGAAGTTGAAAAAATCTAGAAAAATTCGCAGATGTGGCAGAAGCCCCAAGCGGTGTAGTTGAGAGACCGATCAAACATCGCATTGATATCATTTAAGGAAGTCAAATTCCTAAGGGGCCTATATATAGAATGTCACCTAAACAGTTGGACGAACTGCGAACCCAGCTTGATGAGATGCTAGAAAAAGGATGGATAAGGCCTAGCTCCCCGCCCTACGGTGCGCCTGTGCTATTTGTGCCGAAGAAAGATGGTGGGGTACGCATGTGTATAGATTATAGAAGGTTAAATGATATAACAATAAAAAATGCCGAGCCACTACCACGAATAGACGATTTGTTGGATAGGGTGCAGGGTTGTAAGTATTTCACAAAGATTGATTTGAAATCTGGTTATCATCAGATTGAGGTAGAGCCAGAAGACCAATACGAGACTGCCTTTCGAACAAGGTATGGGCACTCTGAGTTCATTGTGTTGCCCTTTGGTCTTACGAATACCCCTGCAACTTTCCAAAGAACTATAAATGAATATTTTCGTGAATGGCTTGATAAATTTGTTGTAATATATCTTGATGATATTTTGATTTTCAGTAAAGATTTGAAATAACATTGCGAGCACCTTCGACTTGTGCTAAATAAATTGCGTGAGGCAAAGTTGAAACTAAACCCAAAGAAGTGTGAATGGGCTAAGCGTCAGGTTTTATATCTAGGGCATGTACTTGATGGTGATGGAATCAAACCGGAAGACACGAAGATTGTGGCAATTCGCGATTGGCCTAACCCACGCACTTTGACTGAATTGCGGTCGTTCCTTGGGTTAGCCAATTATTATCGAAAATTTGTAAGACACTTCACGATAATTACTGCTCCCCTTCGGAGATTGCTTAAGAAATAAACAATCTGGAAGTGGGATTCAGTGTGTACAACCTCGTTTAAACGCTTGAAGAAATGTCTGATTAACGATCCGGTTCTAAAAGTCGCTGATCCTTCTTTGCCCTTTGTCGTCACAACCGACGGTAGTCAGTATAGGATAGGCGTTGTACTCCAATAGGACGATGGGAATGGATACAGGCTTGTTGAGTTTATGTCCCGACAACTGCCTAATGAGAAAGTCGCCGCTTCTACGTATGAGAGAGAGTTGTTTGCTCTTCGGGAAACCCTGGATCACTGGCGACACTATCTCTTAGGGCGCCACTTCAAAGTGCACTCGGGTCATGAGACAGTTCGTTGGCTCAAGACGCAGGCCCGGATGACACCTAAGTTGACTAGGTGGGCCGCTGAGATTGATCAATATGATTTTGAGTTGAAGCCAGTTAAGGGTAAGTATAACGTTGTTGCTGACGCTCTAAGTCGAAGATCTGATTTCTTTGGTGCCATTGTAACATATCTAGATGTGGGCACCAATTGGCAAGAAAAAATTAGGAATGCGCATTCCACAGATCCTGTTTATGGCGCAATGATTAAGCGTATACAAGAAGCGCCTCAAGAGTTTCCTAACTATCGTATAACACAGGGACTGTTGTTCGAAAGAACAAATGTGCACGATAGGCTTTGTATTCCAAATGTGGAAGAAATCAAAAGTCTGATTTTGGGAGAGTGTCACGACACCGAAGGCCATTTCGGGTGGAAGAAGACTGCAAACCTTTTGCGTTCCTACACCTGGCCTCGCATGAAACCCGACCGCATTGCATATGTGCAGGGCTGTCAAGTGTGCCAAAGAAATAAGAGCACCACGCAGCCTCCCCTTGGTCTACTTAAGCCTCTGCCTATTCCAACCGGTCCAGGAGACTCTGTGTCCATGGACTTTATGGACACCAAGATAAAAAGCAGGAATGGAAAGACGCAAGTCATGGTCATCGTCGACAAATTTAGTAAGTATGCTGTCTTCGTAGCTTTACCAGTGGAAGCAAAAATGGAACTGGTAATCCGGGAGTTCTTAAACCATTGGGTGAAAGACTATGGGCATGCCTTGACAATTGTGAGTGACAGAGACACAAGGTTCACAAGTGAACAATGGCAGCAACTAATGAACATTTATGGCTCTAAATTGACTATGTCATCAGGCAGACATCCTGAGACAAATGGCCAGACTGAGCAAATGAACAAAATTCTGCAACAAACATTGCGCATGCACATACCGACCAGATTGATTGGGATGAACATTTGCCAAAAGTTGCTAGTGCCTATAACAACTTTGTTCATCTGTCCACATGCAAGACTCCGATGGAGTTACATTTGGGATGGCGTCCGCGCAGGCCTATTGATCGACTAAACCCTGATCAAGTGCATAAGCTTTCACTATGAACTAGTGAATTTGCTATTCAATACCAGAAAGACATTGAAAAGGTAAAGGAAAATATTGTCAAAGCACAACATCAGATGATTCAACAGGTAAATAAGCACAAAAGACCTTCTCAGTTCGCTGTAGGTGATCTGGTATGGTTTAAGTCTAAAGAGTTTGTTCCTGAATAGAACATCTCCCAAAAGTTATTTCCAGCTTACAAAGGACCTTGGCAAGTTCTTGATGTGATTGGAGATGTGGATGGACCTTCTTATGTAATTGAGATTCCTCTACATTTGCATACGTATCCAGTATTCCACACCTCAAAGCTTTTACCTTGCGTAACAAATGAGTTGTTTCCCAGTCGCAGATCGACGATGCCTCCTAGTATGGATGGGAAATATGACATGGATAAGATTGTTGCTGAAAGCACTCTTCAAACTGGATGTAGAGGCAGACCCCAACAACAATACAAAGTAAGATTTGCATATCAGGACCCAAGTGAAGATCGCTGGTTCACAAGAGAAGAATTAATTGAGTCTGCGCCTCATATTGTATCCGCTTATGAAAGAGCGAGAAGAGGAATAAATATTATAGATAGATGAAGGTTTTCTCAGAGGACTTCGAAACTAGGCCGGCGAGAGTAAAAGGGCCTTTACCCGATTCAGACCCTGTTTGACGAATGCAATATAGTGGGGTCACTCGCCCAGAACCCCAACTCGTGAAAAGCAGATCAACAGGCATGTTCTCTGGGTCAAAAGTCACATCCTAACTAAAGTGAAAGTCGATGCTAAAGGTCACAGTTGTGCCCCTGGACGAACAGTTGTAATATTCAGATATGGGAGTCACATCTGTTCATCCAGGGGATGTGCAGGTCATGTCTGTTTGAGTAGTAGATGTGTCTGTTCGTGCAGTATGTGTGTCTGTTCGTGCAGTATGTGTGTCTGTTCGAGCAGTAGGTGTGTCTGTTCAAAGGAAGTCCAAAGGATAAAGTCCCAGTCAAGATTCAAGTCAAAGGGAGAGTCTAGATTCAGGCATCAAGTCCAAAATTCAGGCCAGATGGCCGCAGCAGCAGCAGACCCTGAAGGGAAAGTACTGGGACACACACCATGCGGAGGTCTGGGAYTGAAGGAGGCCCRAAGTGCCAATRCAGACCTCGCAAAGGGAGGCCAGCAGTATAAAGAAGYAGGCTAGCCTCCCTTGAAGACAGATCCCCAGTGGCATTCAGGCGTGGAAGTGCTGAAGGCACTTGTGCGCTGGCTGGCTGGGTGAGCGCTGGCAGGAGGAGCTGCGCTAAGAGAGGAAGAAGGCTGGGCGCTGGTTTGCAAGTAGCAGCCATAGCTGCCCTAACTAGTTAATGTAGTTAGAGGGTTAGTAATTAGTCTTCAGTGAGTAGCATTCAAAGTAGATTCTCGTAGAAGGAGTGTGCATGCATGATGAGAGAAGAGAACTGAGACAGAGATCTTGAGGGCGAGAGAGAGAGAAGGGGCAGGTGTACGATGTTGGCTATGGTGGAGACATACCTGCTCTGCGTTTAACTTCTTGTTGAGAGGTGGCGCTGGATGAGCCAGGCCTCACATTGCAGTTGTATGAGAAGGAGAGACATATCGCACTGTTGGTTCTTGAACTCGAGATACTCTTATAATGTGTTGGAGATCATATGAGCTGCGCATCTTGGTTCACATCTCATCTCTACTTTGTGCTGTGTGATGGTTCATAATCTGTGTGATTGGTAACGTGGCATGCATTGTGATACACTCTGGCAAGTTGTGGACAGTCAGGTCCCTTGCAACACGGTTTCCTAGCGAGCTGGGAGTCGCAGTGCCTTCCATACAAACTAAGGAAACTTGATTTGGAAACTTGGAATGGTAGCTTTCCTTCTCCATTTACTTGGAGGGAGATAATGGTGGGCTGTCAACCTTATACAGAGAGCACTATTGGTGGCGCTCTCATTTCAAATTACATTTGATACACCCAGTCTGTTTCGAGAAAGGTGGAGATTTCATTATCTGTATTCATGGTGAATGATTCTATGTGTTGAAATGCAGACCTTCGGAATTACCTTGGGCCGGTTAGTTCGATGATGATATCTCAGGGCTGTCACCCTATCAAAAAAAAGATTGATGGGAGGTGCATGGGGTGCTGTTATTCACAATGCTTGGGGTAAGTTGGTTGCGGACTTATGGAAAATGTATTGGATCAGTCAGATGTTAATACGGTGGTCTCTTGGGTGTGGTTGTCTGCCCTGTTGGACGTGTTGGTGCGGCGTTGTCGGTGTGTACTAATGTAGACACGAAGATAGCATTTATGGAGCTGCACAGTGTTGGGCCCGTGAAGTTGTTTGACACAGCTGGTATAGACGAGCAAGGTACGCTGGGGGAGAAGAAACGCCAGAAGTCACTAAATGTCCTGAAGGAATGTGACCTGGTCTTGCTGGTGGTCGATCCTCTGAAAGGTTGTGAATGGAACGAAGGTAAGTGTCCTTGTTAAAACCATTGGTACTCTTACCCACTGAACCTCTACAGGGCCTGGGCACTGCAGATTTTGCCCTGGTACTTGTAGACAAGAAAAATGAACAGTGCAGGTGTCGTTTGAGTGGTGGTTTTAGTTGTAGAAAAAAAAGAGTCATTCCTTGATGTCTGTGCATCGTCCCTACGTGTCAAAGCCCATTACCTTTTTTTTTTTTTTTTTAACCACTAGTACCTTTGGCGCGTGGGAAAATAGCGGGCCTCCGGTGGGCCTCCGACCTTTTTGGAGGCCGAAATGAAACGACGGCCGCCGATCAGATTTATCAATGGCAGCCGTCGTCAGGCCCGCCCTCCGAAACTTTGGAGTTTGGGAAAACGTCCACTTTTCCCAATTTTCGCACGCACCAAAGGTACTAGGGCTTTAAGCCCATGCAAATCTTAATTCTCTGGAATATTCCAGCCTTCTTAACAGGATGTTTAAAGTATGGATGTTCTCTGCCTATGATCTTGGTCTCCCTCAGCTGCATTGTTTACTTCAGAGGCTGAAGAGGGTGAGAGTGGTACATTTCAGAAGATGGAGGAAAGGCTAGAGAGTGCAGAGCTTACATTTAGAGAGCTGTATGTTTGAAGAAGCACTATCGTTATGAGTGCTCAGAATGAGTGCTGCATTTCGGCTGTTTATATCCAAGCCTTCTCTTCTTCTTTTCCCATGTTCATCCTTTGTGGGTGGTTTCTCCCCATGATTGTGTGTGAGCAAGAAGGGAAATTCTTCTATGTATGTCGCCCTCCTTGGCATCTCGATTGGTGATGATGAGTGGGTTGTCTGAGCCCTGAAATCGTGTACAAGACTACACGTAGCATATATAGTATGTACGAGTGGGCGCTGGAAATCATGACATTGAATGAAATCCAAAGCCAAGGTGCCAAATCCGTGTGGGTTGCAGGGACTTCCGCTCTATTGATTCAAAAACATGAGCCAACCATCAGGCTGTGGTTCCCCTTAGGTGCGGTAGAGTCTATAAATTCTGAATCGATAGATTCAAATTTCAGAAACATGAGGCACCCATCAGGTTGTGGTTGCAGTCAGGTGCCGTAACATCTATAAATTCTCAATGCCGAGCTACCATATGTATTTTTTTCAGTGAGTTGGATTGGTTGATTTCAGACTTCCTCCATTGTACTGTTGTTTCTCTCCCCTGTGGTGATTCCTGGATCTGCTGTGACGGGCCTGAGGCAGAGCAGCGAGGTCAGGGAAGAGAGAGGGAGGGAGTGAGAGCACACGCACACACTCACTCAACTCGATACGGACTCGACACAACTCGACGGACGCAGACACAAAGTGGCGAAGTCGCAAAGTCGCAAAGTCGCGAAGTCGCAAAGTTGCAATCTTGGGTTTCGAACACAATGTCACAGCAAGTCACACTGAAGCACAAGCACTGAGGCTGAAAACTGAATGCCCGAACTCAGCTTGAGTCCGATCTTAAGTACCAGACTCAAGTTGAGTCCCGAGGGCAGAAGTGCAATTTGCCCCGGGGCTGAACTGAAAATCGAAGGTCTGAGTCTGGGCTCCAGAATGCCGGATGGTGCCAAGTATCGAAATCCAAAAGTGCCAGATGTTACATGCTGCGCCTGCACGGGCCATTTTCAGGCCCGTGTTGTTTTCAGCCTGAAAGCTGGGCCTACAGGCCCGTGTTGTTTACAGCCTGAAAGCCTGAAAACAAGGGCCTACAGGCCCCGTGTTGTTTTCAGCCTGAAAGCCTGAAAACAAGGGCGTACAGGCCCTGTGTTATTTCAGTCTAAATCAGGGCCTTTCCGGCCCTGAGCATTTTCAGGCCCTCATCAGTTCGACCCGCCCTGAAACTCAGGCAACAAACCAGGGTTTTAGCACAGGCCATTTCAGGCCTGTTTTCAAGACAACCCCTGGTTGAGCTTCAACGCCAGGGTCTGGCACGTTTCGGCATTGGCAAGAGCAGCCTCCTGGACGGGCCAGCACTATATAGGACTGGCCCGCCCTGCAGGCAGGCAGGTAGTTCCTAGGTACTTCCCAGGCACTTCACGTGCAGTTCAGGAGGCAGGAGGTAGTCTTCAGGATTCGGCGCTAGCAGTAGTCCTCAGCGCTGGGCGCTAGTCGCGTTAGCAGTAGTCTTCAGCGCTGGGCGCTCTTAGGAGCTAGAGTAGAACTAGAGAGAGAGAGAGATTGGGCGGAGGCCAGGGATACTTACCTGCAGCGCCATAGCTCCAGCTYCGCCTTCGAGGTACCTGCAGCACAGCACCATCTTCACAGGTTAGTACCTGGCATATGAGAGAGAGAGAGTTCTTCTTCTTCCTCTTCTCAGTCCACCATCTCCCTCTCACCCTCTCGCTACCTGTTACATGCCCAGTTGGGCGATGAACATAGAAACCGAGGATCAGCAATGTGATGAAAAGGACTGAATGGACAATGCAGTGCAAGTAGAATCTCAACAAGCAATGTGCATTCTAATACATACAAAATGGTGCTGAATAGCGCAGGGAAGACTTAGATACAATTCCTGACCTGACCGGGACTGACCTCATTCACATAGTATCCGATAGCGAAGCAGAACGCTAGAATGCTAATGACTAGCCCAATCAATGTTTGAACGCAGACCAAACATACATCGTGTCCATCACAAAGTGTGAAGGAGCCTGGCGCTGTACACAGGAAGAAAGCGCCAGGTCCAGACATACGCAGACGAAGAGGAGGGAATCAGACGAAGAGGGGGAGAGATGGGAATGTCGTCAACACCAAGTCTTTGTCACAAGTCCCAAATAATCCCTCGTTACAATGTCTGAAGTCCAAAAGTCGAGTTTGGATCCAATGTCACCAAGCTCTTTCTCTCTTCTCTCGTAGTCTGCAGATGCAGTGAAGTCAGATGATGAGAGGGTGAGAGGGAGATGGTGGACTGAGAAGAGGAAGAAGAAGAACTCTCTCTCTCCATTACGAGCCAGGACTAACCTGTGATGTTGGCGCTGTGCTGCAGGTACCTCGAAGACAAAGCTGGAGCAACGGCGCTGCAGGTAAGTACCTCTGACCTCCGCCCAATCTCTCTCTCTCTCTAGTGCTATCCTAGCTATGGCGCCCAGCGCTGGAGACTACAGCTACCTACGCTCCCTCCAGAGTGCTGCTGCCGAATCCTGAAGACTACTACTGCCTCCTGCCTACCCGTGAAGTGCATGGGAAGTCCCTATGTACTACCCCGGCCTGCTTCCTGACTGCCTGAAGGGCGAGCCAGGCCGAGGAGGCTGCTCTTGCCAATGCCAAAGTGTGCCAGGGGCTGGCGCTGCAGCAGCTGCTTGAGGCTGGCATGGGAACAGGCTAAGAATAGCCTGTTCCCGAAACCCTGGTTCGGTGCCTGATTTTCAGGGCCGGTCGTTCTGATGAACGACCGAAAATGGCCCTTCGTTTCAGGCTAAAAAGGCTATTGCCGTTTTTAGTCTGAAACGACACAGGGACTATAGGCCCCTGTTTTCAGGCTTTCGGGCTGAACAGTCACGGGGCCTGTAGGCCCTGGTTTTCAGGCTTTAAGCCTGAGGGACGCAGGGCCTGGAAAATGGCCCTCGTGTGCAGGCGCAGCATGTAACACCCCCCCCTCCTTATGAAGTCAAGCCGGGGCGAGGGCGAAGCCGACGATCTGAAGGTGGAACCTGGACGCGGGCGCGGCGTGGAGCCGAAGAAACCGGCTTGCCTTGCATCTTGTGTTCATAGCGTGCGAGAACGTCTGTTCCGCACAGGTCAACCAATGGTCAGCTCGGTGTGTGCAGTATGCAAAGTGCACTAAATACTCGGTTGACCTGTTGCCGTAGCGTCGTTGGGAGATGATGTCGCCGACCTCCTGAAAACCATCCATGGAGGGTGGGTCTTGCGAACGTCTCCTGGGAAAATCGTCATGTTCCGCTGGCGTGTAAAGAGCCAACTTGGAGCAATGAAAGACTCGGTAGACGGGCAAGTGGGCGGGCACCTGAATCGTGAAGGAAGGTCCCTCGGGTGCGTTCCCAGCGGGTGMCACGATCGGCCAAGGCCCCATCCATTGCGAGAGATGTCTTGTTCAAGGCTGAATTCAGTTGTGGAAACCCACACGAGGTCGTCGGCGCGGAATGGGCAAGGAAGACGCTGGCGATTGGCCTGCTGGCTCATGCGCTGCTCCGTCTTAGCCATCTGGTCGCGTGCCTTGACAAGAAGCTCTTGCATCCGACGCAAGAAAAGAAGATGGTCGTTGCTCTAGGCCGTTCGTGGAGTAATACTGTCCAACGGTGAAGTGACCAGCGAGCCGTGCTCGAACTCGAAAGGCGATATCCCGATAGCCGGGTGGATGGAAGAGTTGTAGGCCAACTCGACATCCGGCAACCGCTCAACCCAGTCCTTCTGGTCAGAACGAATGACAGTGCGAAGGAGAACCTGTGCGGTCTGGTGCGCCCTCTCCGTTTGGCCATCGGTCTGAGGGTGGCGAGCTGAACTGGGCTTGAGAGATGAGCCCCATCGCTTGATGAGCGCCAACCAAAAAGTGGACATGAACCGAGTGTCGCTGTCGCAGACGATTTCCTTGGGGTAACCCTTGGTTCGAATCCAACCGGCGTAGAGAACCTCGACCAACTCCGGTGCCTTGGCATGATAGCGACAAGGCAACAACATGGCGAACTTGGTGAGTCGGTCGACCACCGTGAGAATCCCATCCACTCTGGTCTTGTGCTTGGGGAACGGGCCGGTAATGTCCATGGCAATCACTTCCCTGCGCCTCAACGGGACCGGTAATGGTCGTAACTCGCCGTACGGACGATGGTTGCGGGATTTGCAGTGTCGGCAAACCTCGCATGACTCGCAATAGCGTGTGACGTCGCCGAGAAGGCCGGGCCACCAAAATCGCTCGCGAAGTCGGTCAATCATGCGATTGACTCCAAAGTTTCTGGTGGCGGGAGCATCGTGGAACTCGCCAAGAAGCGGTGTACGCAAGTGAGGATCACTCGGTACGCAAAGAAGGTCCTTCCCCCGCGTGTGGACAAGCAAGTACCCCTCTTGGATCCAGTAGTGAGAAGGCGCTGGATTAGGAGAGGAGCAATTCGCATACTTGTCGCGAAACTTGGGGTCGGCTTGGTAGGCGCGGATGAAGTTGTTCCGCAGGTCATCGTCGATCTCGAAGGTCGAGTAGACCGCGGTACAATGATCCGGACGCCGTGAAAGAGCATCCGCAAAACGGTTCGACTTCCCGGGGATGTGATCGGGAAAGAAGTCGAACTGGTCGATGAAAGCCATCCATCGAGCGATGGTGCTGTTGACGGTGTCTTTGGTCTTGTAGAAGACCAACAGATGGTTGCCCGTTACCCATCGGAAATGGCTTCGACCAAGGAGGAAGTCCCGCCACTGCTTGAGCACGTGGACGAAGGTGAGGAGCTCCTTCTTGCGTGCATTGTCAATGGAATGCACGACGGGCACTTTCTTGCTGAAATACTTGACCGGGTGCCAGTCCACACCATCATGTTGCTCGAGGATGACACCAATGCCATAGTCGGACGCATCCGTAGTGACGCGCGTAGGCAAAAGCGGGTCGTATATGCACAAGACCTCCGCAGATAATAGTGTGGCTTTGAGAACCAAAAACAATTCCCGCGCATCCTCTCCGAAGTCAAATGGCCGATCCTTGCATTGAAGCTTGGTCAAGTGGGCCGCGATCTTCGAGTAGCCTTTGATAAAACGCTGATAGTAGCCGGCGAGGCCAAGGAATGAACGGACATCCGTGACGTTTTGAGGCTCCGGCCACTCCTGGATGGCTTGAATCTTGTCCGATAGCGGACTGATGCCCTCCGGTGTGACAAAATTGCCCAAGTATTCCAGCTCTTGCCGGACAAATTTGCACTTGTTGCGTTGGCCTTGTACTTGGCACGGCGGAGTGTGTCTTCAACACTCGTCGAAGATGCCCAAGATTATCCTCCAATGACCAGCTATAGACGAGAATATCGTCTAAGTAGACCAGCACGAACCGGTCCAACATTGCACGAAACTCATTGGTCATTGCCGCTTGAAAGGTCGTCGGGGCGTTGGCGAGACCAAAAGGCATGACCACCCACTCAAAATGCCCGTACCGCGTCTTGAACACGGACTTGTAGCGATCGTTCGGTCGGATCGAGATTTGATGGTATCCCAATTTCAAATCCAACTTAGAAAAATACTTTGCGCCGCCCAGTCGCTCAAGAAGATCGTCGATGCGAGGGAGAGGCCCCGCATTCTTGACGGTTTGCCCGTTGAGCTTGCGGTAGTCGATACACAATCGTAGATTCTTGTTCTTCTTTCGGACGAAGAGAACTGGTGCTCCATATGGGGAGCTGCTAGGGCGGATCCAGCCCTTGGCCAACAAATCGTCGAGTTGTGCGCGGATGACCTCAAGCTCCTCCTCGCTCATCCGATAGATGCATCCTTTCGGCGGCACGACACCGGCCTCAAGAATGATCTCGTGAGAGATCGGCCGATCCGGCACTACACCGGTAGGTGACGCGAAGATGTCGGCGAACTCGTCCAGCAACCGCACCACCCGGGGGTCCAAAGACAAGTCTGTGGGTGAAGAGTCGGCTATCGCGACGGTCCGTAGGAAACATAGGCCAATCTCCTCGGGCTACTCGTAAGTGCAAGTCGCCTTGAATGATTTGGCCGTCACCACTTGGCACCGAATCGAAGGGTGCGGTAGAGGAATAGTACACGCCACTTCCGCGCCGAAGGTGTCGTGAACGCTAAGAGTCCCCCGGTGGAAGTTGACCGTGTGATCCGCACTTGCAAGCCAAGGCATTCCCAGAATAATGTCGAAGTCCGTGTCGAGAATAACGAATGTAACCGGTTCGCATGCATGAGGTGCAAAATAAACCGGCGAGAAGTTGCTTAATGTCGGACATGAGCTTGAGATGAAATAGTGGTGGATGGCTTTGAAGCCCATCTGCATGTCTGGGACTGACGTCAAGCGTTGGTACTCGGCGATCCAGTCGGCACTCGACAGCTTGCCTTGTTCGAAGACCATGAGCTTGTCCATAGCCTTGATCTTCGGCGGCTCGACTTGGAACCGCTTGTGCCACGCCGCCTTCTGATCATCCCAACTGATCTTGGTGTGCAAGTCGACAGCTATCACTCCGTATTTGGACAAGAGATCGTCCAACCAAGCCTGGCACGCGCTGCCTGAGTGAGAGTACAAGTATGCGTGGTGCTTGTGTTCTTTGACGTTGTGTAGCTGCAGCGTGAGCTCAAACTTGCGGAACCATGGAATTGGATCTGTCTTCATTGAGTTGCAGAAGATCTCCTGCTCGTCAAACTTTGGAGCTGTCTCGCGCGGTTTCAAACTTGAGGTGTTGGCGGTAGCACAGATCCGCTGTTCCAACTATTGCATTGCGGTCTGCTGTAACTGCACGCAGTCCTTCAGGGAGCCGACATCCATCTCCAATGCTTCGAGGTGATCGGAGGTGTTGGAAGAGCTTGCATCGGGGGCGGCGACAGGTCGCTGCTCCAGCTGCTGGAGGCGGCCTTGGACTTGAGTTAGCCAGTCGTCGAGGCTATGGATATCCTCCTCCTGTGTAATGCATGTCGCCAGGAGGTCTGTGAGATGGGAGAGGAGGAGAGCGATCTTGTTTTCGCTATCCTCCAGCTTGCCGTTCTCGGCCTTGGTCCGCCATTCCGGTGCCATTGTGAGCAATGTTTGCTCTATGCCAAATATCTTTTCACGACGTTGAATTCTTTCTTCATCGGCAGCCTTTGCTGCTGCCTCGTCATGCTGGCGGTGTTGTTCAAGTGCCAGCAGACGTGCCTACTCGTCCTCTGGCTTCTTCTTCACTGCTGCTGCTGCGTCATCCACCCGTTTCTTTGTTTCGGTACTCCAAGCCAGCATCCGGGCCTGATAGGCCTCGTCTGCTTCTCCCCACCTCTGGTCCATGACGGCTGTTTGTGACCGCAACAACATATACCAGGCCGGGGGCCTGCTGACGTGGTATTTCCTGCTCTGTCGGCTGACGTGGCCTGCTGACGTGTCCTACTGATGTGGCCTGCTAACGTGGTCTGTTGGTGTGTCCTGCTGACGTAGTCTGCTGACATGGCCTGCTGACGTGGCAACTCACCAATGCCATCGCAGGGGATACACGGGGATGGATAAAGAAGGTAAGGCTAGAGGGGGCAACAACATAGGTGGGGAGGGTGGGTGGGGAGAATCGCCCAGGTAAAGAGCCACTAATCAAAAAAAGAAAAGTTTGAACTTTGCAAAAAAAAAATTGAAATAATAAAATCCCGAGTTTTGCAAGTTAAGTAGGTCTCCCGAGTTTTGCAAGTTAAGTAGGTCTCCCAAAATGATCAATGAGAGAAAAAAATTCCGACTTCAGACTGCAAATGATTTATAGAACTGACTGACAGAATCCTAGAACTGCGAAAAAAAATTCCGAAAAAGAAATAAAATATTCGGACTTACTCAGATGAGAGTATTCGCAGTTTGGAAAATAATACCTGCAGGAGGGATTTTCCGTTCCGTTTTCAAACAAAAAACGAATTTCGAAAAAAAGATATTTCGAATTTTTAAGTAACGGAAAATGCAACAGGAAATCGAAATTTTCAAAAAGAAGGATATTCTGGATTTTCAACAACGAAATTTGAATTTTCAGAAGGAAAACGAGAATGGGAATTTCAGATGTTGCGCTATTACGATTTTCTGCAATAGAAATAGCGAGAAAACAAAATCCAAGGAAAGAAAAAAAAAAATTGATTTTCGGCAGTAAGGTCAAAATCGTGATTTTGGGGTCTAACTAGTGTGCTCTAATCAATCAATAAAGACTAGTCATGTTGCATACTGTAACGGTGCAGACCAGAACAAGAACCGACCTCTCAATACAAAGTACAAGATGGCGTAGCGGAAGACTTAGATACCAATGATCCGAACAATCAATATTGCAATGCAGCCCTGAACATACATCATCATCATCATCGTTACATGGTGTGAATGGGGTCTGGCGCTTCACACATGAAGACTGCGCCAGCCCCTACCATACACAGACGAAGAAGAAGGGGGTTAGACGAAGAGGAGGGGAAGATGGGAATGTCGTCAACACCAAGTCTTCGGCACAGGCCCAAATAATCCCTCGTCGAAATGTCTGAATCCCAAATGTCAAGTCTGGATCCAATGTCGTCAAGTCCCAAGTTACCACTCTCTCTCTCTCTGTCGTAGTCTGAGAAATCAGGTGGTGAGAGGGTGAGAAGAGATGGTGGACTTAGAAGAGGAAGAAGAAGAACTCTCTCTCTCTCTCTGTGTGTCCAGTACTAACCTGTGAAGTTGGCGCCTTGATGCAGGTACCTCGAAGATGGAGCTGGAGCTATGGCGCCACAGGTAAGTACTGCTGGCCTCCGCCATCCATCTCCCTCCAATGCTACTACTACCACCTACCAGCGCCCAGCGCTGAAGACTACACCTACAGCTATGGGCGCCCAGCGCTGAAGACTACTGCTAGCGCTGAAGACTACTGCAACGCTCCTCCTGAATGCCGCGGCCGAATCCTGAAGACTACTCGTGCCTATTGTCCAACTACCTACCTGGGAAGTGCATGGGAAACCCCTATGTACTACTCGGCCTGGACTGGCTGCAGGCGAGGCAGCAGTCTAGGAGGCTGCTCTTGCCAATGCCAAAGGCAGTCAGGGGCTGCCGCTGCAGCTCCTGCTCAAGACAGTCGTGGGAACAGGCTAAAGATAGCCTGTTCCGAAAACCCTGGTTTTGTGCCTGAGGTTTAGGGTAGGTCGATCTTATGAGGGCCTGAGAATGGCCCTCCATTTCAGGCTGAAAAGCTTCTGGGCCTGAAAGGCCCAGAAATAGGCTGAAAATGGAATAGGGCCTGCAGGCCCTCGTTTTTCAGTTTCAGGCTGAAACGACCGGGGCCTGTAAGCCCTATTTTCTAGGCTTTTACGCTGAAAGTGCGGGACGGGCCCTGCAGGGCCCGTGTGGCTACGCAGTATGCCACACCCCCCCCTCCTTGAAAGACCGAGCTTACCTGCGAGGGCGAAGCTGTCTGTCTGAGGGAGGGACCACAGTCCGGGTGGGAGGGGCCTTCGTGAAGCTTCCTGAGCTAACCTTTGCTTCTCGTAATGTGCGTAGATCAGCGGTGCGGATGCTTTCAAATCTGCTCCTGAAATCCACCGAGTGTCGTCGCGATCGCAGGCTTTGAATGTAACTTTGTACTGTCGCGGCTTGCTGCCGTACTTGCGATCGGTGATGACGCGGTCAACTTGCTGATGACCATCCATAGAAGGAGGGTCCTGCGATCGTCGGCTCGAAAAGTCATCGCTCTTAGCTGGCGTGTATGTTGCCAACTTTGAGGTGTGAAAGACTGGATGGACTGTCAGATGCGGCTGATGTTACGGGCCATGGTCCAAACCACTTGGGAAGCAGTTTGCGTGAGACATCCTGTTCCAGTGCAAACTCTTCCGCGGAAACCCAAACCAGGTCGTCGGCGCGGATGGGACATGGCACGCGATGCCTGTTGGCTTGCTGCTGCATGCGGACTTGAGCCTTTTGCATATTCGCGGGGGCTTGAGCCAGCAATTCCCTGTACTTCCAGACGGAAGCGGGAGAGCAAGCGGCATCGATGTCGGCCGGTCGTAGGCGGAGAAGGTCGGCGAAGATACGGCCTTTCCGTCCACCGTGGTGCAACTCGAATAGAGTCACGCTGATCGCCGGGTGCATCGAAGTGTTGTAGGCAAACTCGATGTCGGGGAGGCGGTCAACCCAATCTTTTTGGTCCGGCCGGATGAGCGTATGAAGCATCATTTGAGCGGTTTGATATGCCCGCTCTGTCTGCCCGTCTGTCTGTGGATGCCGAGCCGAACCTAGCTTCATCTTCTTGCCGGACTCCTGCATGAGTGCAGTCCAAAATGCCGACATGAAGCGAGTGTCGTGGTCGCTGACTATGTCTTCCGGTACACCATGGCCGCAAATCCAGCCGGTGTGCAGGAGGCGTGCCAGCTCGGAAGCCGTGGAGTAGTACTTGCAAGGGAGAAAACGCGCGTACTTACTCAATCGGTCCACAACCGTGAGGATGCTGTCGTGTCCGAGGCGGTCTCGAGGGAATGGTCCGGTGACGTCCATGACAATGGAGAGACCGGGTTCCTGCGGGATCGGCATCGGGCGCAGCTCGCCGTAGGGGTTGCGGTTGCGGGGTTTGCTTCGTCGGCAAACTTCGCAAGAGTCGCAATACCTCGTGACATCGGTGATGAGGTCGGGCCATCGGAATCGTTGTCAAAGCCGTGCAATAGTGCGGTTGACTCCAAAATGGCCGGAAAGTCGCGAATCATGATACTCGCCGAGGAGGCGAGTCCGAAGACGACGGTCGCGTGGGACACATAGTAAGTCCTTGCCCCGCGAGTGTAGGAGCAAGTACCCATCGACGATGCGGTAGTGGCTGGCCGGCGGGTGATCCGAAGATAGCTGCGCATATAGTGTGGCGAAGTCTGGATCGGACTCGTAGCCCCTGATGAAGTGTCACTGGAGCTCCTCGTCGAATGCGAAGGCATGATGTGTCATAGCACAAAGATCAGGTCTTCGCGAGAGTGCATCTGCTGCGCGATTGGAGAGGCCGGGGAGATGTTTCGGTGTGAAGTCAAATTGGTCGATGAAGCACATCCATCGCCCGATCGTGCTGCTCACCGTATCCTGCGTCTTGTAGTAGGTCAATGGATTGTTGTCTGTGACCCATGTGAACCTACGACGCGCAAGGAGGAAGTGCCGCAATCGCTTGAGAGCCATGACGAATGCGAGCAGCTCCTTCTTCCTTGCATCATCAAGCGAGTTGATGGGAGGCACTTTGTGGTTGAAATACTCCACACGGTGCCAGTCGTCGCCGTCGTGCTGTTCCAAGACTGCCCCAATGCCATAGCCGGAAGCGTCAGTCGTCACTCTCGTAGGCAGCGTGGGGTCATAGATGCTAAGGACGGTTGCCATGAGCATAGCCGTCTTAAGTGCTTGGAATGTCCGGCGTGCGTCGTCATCGAATATGAATGGCACCTTTGGCGATTGTAATCTCGTCATAGGTGCAGCAATCCTCGAGTATCTGGTGATGAATCGCTGATAGTAGCGAGCCAATCCCATGAATGAACGAACGTCCGTGGTGTTGGTGGGCTCGGGCCATACTCGTAGGGCCTCGATCTTGTTCGCAAGCGGACGGATGCCTTGCAGCGTCACATAATGTCCCAAGTACTCCAGCTCCGGCCGCGCAAATTTGCACTTATCGCGGTTGGCTTTGTACTTGGTTTGTCGTAGCCGCTCCAAAAGGTGCACAGGTGTTCCACATGCTCCTCCAAACTCCGGCTGTACACCAGGTTGTCGTCGAGGTAGATAAGTACGTATCGATCCAGCATGTGCGGGAACTCCGTTGTCATAGCCGCTTGGAAAGTGGTTGGGGCATTCGTAAGGCCAAATGGCATAACCAGCCATTCGAAATGCCCATATCGCGTCTTAAACGCGGTCTTGTAGCGGTCCTCTTGCTGAATCTCGAGTTGGTGATATCCCGACTTGAGATCGAGCTTGGAGAAGAACTTGGCGCCGCCCAGTCGCTTGAGACGATTGTCGATGCGTGGGAGAGGGCCGTCGTTTCTGATCGTCAGCGCGTTGAGCTTGCGATAATCGATGCACAACCGCAAATCCTTGTTCTTCTTCCGGACGAAGAGAACAGGCGCACTGTATGGCGATGAGCTAGGCCGAATCCAGCCTTTCTCTAGAAGGTCGTCGAGTTGTGCCCGAAGCACACTTAACTCTTCCTCGCTCATTCGGTAGATGCAACCGCGCGGAGGTACGGCCTCGTCCTCGAGGATGATCTCATGGCGGATGGGCCGATCCAGTACTACTCCGTGCGGGCCTTCGAACACGTCGCCGTAGGCGTCGAGAAGCTCGGTGATGCGTGGATCCGAAGAAGAGTCCGTCGATGAAGCGTCATGGGGCGGGAGGGCGTGGACAAAACACACCCCCATCTCCTCGATGTCGTCTCTGATGATGGAAGCTCGCATACTTGCGGCGGATACCACGTGACAGCTGACTGAAGGGTGAGGAGGAGCTACTGTGCATGGGACTACTACTCCGTTCTGATCACGAACGTGAATGGTGCGGCGGTAGAAGTTCACCGGGTGATCCTCGCTTCGCAGCCATGACATGCCCAAGATCATGTCGAATTTGGTGTCCAGAATGTCAAAGGACA